CAGGAGGGTCCCTACATTCCACAAACTCTAGTCCCAAGAGTACCAGGAACAAACACCACAACTGAAATTCCAGCCTACTACATGCCCAAAGATGAAAGGAACTGGGATGAAGATGATAGAGAAAGAGTCGAAACTGACAAAAAGGCCAAAAGATTGATAATCATGGCGCTACCCAACGGAATCTTCCAATCCCTCGATACATGTTCCACAGCCAAGGAACTATGGGATGAACTGGCAAGCCAACTGGAAGGAGGAGCAAAAACAAAGAAAAATCATAGAGCACAATGCCTCAACGAATATTCAAATTTCAAAGCCCTCCCTGATGAACCAATACAAAAGACTTATGATCGCTTCAACACATTGATAAATCAATGTCGTAGAAACTATATCATCAGAACATAGGAAGAAAACAACGTTTTATTCCTAAAGAGTCTAGGCGATGAATGGACTCAACTATCTATGTCCCTACAAGAAAACCAGGACCTAGATGGCTGGTCTCTTCATGACCTGTATGGAACACTTGCAGTACAAGAGAGCGACATTATGAAGAAAAGGTATGAATCGGTGGACCCCTTGCTCTTGCTGCCGATGAAAAGGAAAAATCAAAGACTCCCGCCAAAGAACATAAGAAGAAAGGCAAGAAAGCATTGATGGTAGAATCAGAATCTGAAGAGGAAACTTCTGAATCAGATGATGAGATTAAAGCTTTCGCCAAATCATTGGCCTTKATTACAAAACAGTTCCAAAAGAAGTTCATCAGAAAACTCTATGAGCGAAAAGAGTTCAGAAGGGAAAGGTACCAGTCATCCTATGATAGAAAGCCATCCAAATTTCATCAAAGGGACGAAAGAAGAGATGGAAGAGAAGAACGGGAAGAAAGAAGAGAAGAAAGAAGAGAGGAAAGGAGAGAGGACAAGGAAGGTGTCACACCCTGCTAAAGCGGAAACACGGGATGCTAACAGACAAGCGAGTCTTGGCAACAGTTTAAGAGAAACACATTTTACAAAGATTCACAATAGTTAGTTCATCGACTTAACAGTATTCCAAGGTTACAAAAGTTTTTTCGAATACAATAAAAACTGTCTTAATCGATGTGATCCAAGTAATGCTCCCAGAGTCCACATAACTTACTTAATACCTAAAAAGCATGACATAAAATAGAGTCTGTTGGACCTTATTACTCAGTTCAGGGTATTGAAATCTTACTTGATTAAATAGATAGACATTGAGT